TTCGTGCATTCCAGCATGTCCAGTAACGAACGACTCGTCCAAGGCAAGATTTCAGAGCATATTGCATTTCCCTCTTGACCCTAGTTACCTATGGGAGCCACTAAAGCAGGTCACCGATAGAACACCTGCAGTGCTAAATGCATCACGCATCATTTTCTTCCGCCAGACCCACCTCGCATTCTCCATGAACTGGTATTCCTCGCACGTTACCTCACACACATCCAGTCGTCTGTACGACCGAGTATGTAAAATAACGAAAGAGTCCTCCAAAACCATATTTCATATCAAATGATAGTAGATGTATCTGCAGGTGCTCAAAGGACAATGGTGAGGTAGCCTATTTAAATACCCCTCTTAAGCAAGCAGAAGCAATGATGCAATACAATACGCAGTGCAATCTGGTCTTGGAGCAGTCATCCTTCATTCGCCTTCTGAACTGTGTGAATAAAGAAATGAATGAATGAATGAAAATGAATAGCACCTATCAGCTTCACCTGTTGCATATCGCAAAGCGTTGAGATCTTCTCGTTGCTTGTCAACATTTACCACTGCATCTTGTTCTGTGCAATATCCCATATGACTGAAAGTCAGTGCTTGTTCCTGCCCTGTTTGAAAGCTTATCGATATATGCAACGCAGCTGCGTTGCAATCAGTTCGTCCCTGATACTATCCTATCGTGAATTGTTTGGTCTGCCTCTCGGCCTTTTCCAACATGGATTAAGCATACTATAAATCATAATGTTGATCAGGCGTTTGTAGTGCATGGCTGAATAGTGAGAACTATAGTTTCCCTATTTCGTTAGACGGAAAGTTAATACTAATCCCCGTTCAACGCATTTTACTTGTGCGTTTTTTTGCATCTTCCAATATTTCAGAATTGGTGATCTTAATAGTCAGTCAGTCAGACTTAGCAGCTTGTACAACACGCCGCTATCAGCATAAGCACATCCTTACACAACAACACCCTATAATCATTCAAGTTATCAAAACGTATACACAAAAGGTTAATTTCAGGTCAGAATATCATGCACAAGTAACTGCTCCTACAACTCCAGCTCCCTTAAAGTCCTTATTAGTCAATCTGTAGCCGAGTACTCTGCGCCAACAAGAATGTTCAAACATATCTAGCGCACTGCATTCCTTTCTGGTAATGGCACATGTTGCCACGGCATACAAAAATGCTGCTCAAATAATCGTCAGGTGTACGTGACCTTTCACAGATGTACTGAAAACAGTTTACACAGATTCTGCTGCGGCATATCATAGGCAATTCAAACTTTCCTGATTCCTTCTCGAACCCCCGCTACACAGCTTTCTTTATTGGTAATCAACAAACGGAGATTGTCAAACTCGGTGACGTATTGCAGATTGATATTTTCTGATATACAATGAAGCATGGACATTTGCATTTCGACGGCTTCGGTCGCAGTCAGTGCTTGACACTAGATGCTTCTATGCTCGTCAACGCTTTTAAAGTTATTCCGGTTTCGTTGCAAAGGCCGCGATGCCATCAGCATGATCTAGGTCTTTTAACAGCATCCTAACTGATGGAAAATTAACTCGCTATCAAAATTCCTAAGCGCCTCCATCATCATAGCTACCGTAACCAACAATAAACATTTATCAATATATAGAGCGATTTATACGAATAGAAAGTACTGAGTTTACACAGAAACAAACCATAACGATGAAGAGTTCACATAACCATGACTTCATTCTTAAATGATTAACAGTAGGATTCTTCGGCTCAGCGAGATTTCACTTTACTCCAAAAGACAGCGTAGCCTGGTTCAAACATGAATGCAGTAAAATTGCTGCTATTGCTGGAGTTTATGGGAAAAGCCTTTGAAAAATTCCAATGCTACGACGACTACAGTGCTCTTGAACTCACTGACGGAATAAAAGTTTTAGTTTGCATTATGGACTACACCGAAGAATGTCAAGAATAACGAATCGGGTTCCTTTGAACCACCAACATACGTTGCGATGATCCGATGGTCAAATTATTTGGGCTCCTTAGTGGTAGAGGCAAAAATCGAACAAATGCAAAATGCTGGCGAATCCATAACGATGACACGTCGGATAACGGAATCCTGATTAAAAGCTGATTTCTCTCGAATTGACCCTACTTCGGTAAAAGAATCCAGCAGAGAGACGATCAATATTCAGATAGATGAACAAGAAGCTAAATTCAAAGTTTACGTATACGAAAATAAAATTTTTTACGTAGTCCAGTTTATGCTAGGACACTAACACGTCCACTGAAGAGCGAATATCAAACGTCTGCTAAAACGATAAACGCGATCAGACCTGAGGTGACAAACGAGAAATCGAATTCGAAAGGGAGACAATGACGAAGGCACGTCACTTCAGATCGATATTGAAAAGAAGGGAAGAAAAAGAAAATCCAAAGTCAGCAAGCAGGTCAAAGAAGAAAGTCCATTTTACACGGAGGAAAATGCTTATCTACCCGCAGATATAAATTACAACAACGAAAATGAAAACGGAATTAATCAGTATAAACTCTTCGAATTCTTTTCGTTCATCACTGCGACAGAATAATCGATGGACTCATAGACGAGGAAGCAATTTATACGGATGTCGAACGGCCAGTGCGGTGCATTTCTGGCATTACTTTCTAGCGGGCAAGCAAACAAAAATGCAAAAACGATAATAAGTAAAACAGCCAACAGACAATTGGGTTATGACCATCGTCTTTCGATGTCTTAGGAGTAAGGTAAAGCATAAAAGAAAGTTCGAAATTTCCCTTCTAGGTTTTTCAAATGTCAAAAATGCGACACAAACCTCGGTCACTGACTGAACCTGAAATCAGTGACTTAGGTGAGAATCTGAGCAGAAGCAAGCCACCTTCTAACCTCCTTCTACCCCTCTCTCCACGTTGGACGGACACAAGTCGTCACTGGACTGAAAATAACAGGTTTATCAACGTCAGACAGCAACAAATAAATAAACGTTACTATCTTGAAGCACCAGTTTTCACCGTTCCGTTCCGTTTTACGGTCTCAAAACGGTTGCAGTAGAATACTGATCGAAGTGTATCGATGTCTTAAAGGACCGACAGCATCATCATGTAACGAACGATCACGCAATCAAAGCCGCCATTCTGAACAAGATGCT